CTTGTTAATATCTTGTTTTGTTAATATTAGTTCTTTCGAATTTTAATTCACAATTCCAAAAGAATAGTGTTTCTTATAATATAAACTACTTACCTCGAAGCAATTTTACTTGACATGCTCAGATCAAGACCACCTATCGCACTTGTGATGGACGAAACCAATAAAGGTACAATTAAACATTTTAGCATACTGCAAAAGAGAAAATATATAATTAATCACGTACATGGTTTCTTTAGAAATATGAGATATTGATAAATGTATTACTATCATATAAGTTATACCATATAACTAATTATGATTAAACATGTATATTCATTATATATCTTATATTACATTTTATTCATTAAATATGAAGTAACAAAACAAATGTAGAATACAGAAAAAAATCTGTATTTAATAAGTTTTTAAAAATATACTCACCGCAAGAAAAGTTCTCCTGGAAACGATATATACATAATTTCTCGTTTTGTCCAGGGTCCTGTGCTATTTTTAATGATAAAGCCAATTAAACCTCCAATGAACACACCGGTGACTGTGAACAATGTAAGCGAGTTCTCTTGCATGAACAAGCGAAACTTGGATTCGTTTCTAGGTCTTGACATTTTGTAGAATGTATATGTATATACTGACCCGTCTTGGGAAAAATCTGTGCTTATACTTTAAGGACTTATAGTTAATGGAAACTGTAAAGAAAAGAAAAAACATATAAGATATAAGTTTCATATAAGAAATAACAAAAAAAATCAAAATTGGTAAATTATATTCAAAAAAAAATCTATATAGACTGATGTTTTATTATGATAAATTATGTGAGTTAGATTTTAAAACATCAATATATTTAGACACTTATGTCGTATAAACAATTGTGATATTGTTTGAATATGACAGTAGGTCAGGTTAGATTATACCGGTGATCCCAAGGGATTCACTTAGGCCGATACGCCCATGGTGTTACCGTATAATTCAAAATCATCATCATACATTATACCATTATAACATTATACATTACAAATTAGTACTTCACTACTGAAGGAAATATAGAAAGCAGCAGTTAGTATCTGTGATATAATTAATTGCGAATATAAAGCTTGAAAACTTTAATGAAACAACAAATTACCAGTTGTGATGAATCGGATCACATATTTGATAACTACTTTGGCATCAAAGCTTCAACAATTAAAAATGCAAGCAAATAACACTGACGGGGAATAGATGGGTAGTGGCACAAGAGCCAGATCTAGTGTATCTACTGATTTGTAAATTCCATTAACTTCGAAACTCTACTTTATTATAATAGACTGAAATTTTCGACATCTTAAAAGCCTATTTTCTTGTTGGACTTCTTGAAAAATTAATTCTTAATTTTAAATGACAGTGAGGTACTTATTCAAGCTTTTTCGGTAATATTGCATCTCTTACAAGAGAGTTTATAATGTCAACGATTTAAAAACATGTTAAGTAGTACTTTCAAACTTTTAATAAAACTTCGGGTATCGAAGAAGGACCTTCAATGAAACCTCCCGTTTCAATTCTGCTTCTCCTAACCAGTGTCAGAGGTTAACATACGTCCATTTTTTGTGTCAGGTCAACAGAAATTAAAATAATATTTCTTCATTAGCGAAATTAACAGCGATATGTTTTATATACATCACTTCATGAAACTCTGCTTTCATACATAAAAGTAAATCAAAAATATCTGTGGATATATTGGTTTTAATGGATCATTGAAGTACACAGCTCACCATGGAGTTAGGCTTGCATTGCAAAATTTGTTTAAGCTCTTGTTTACCGGTGCTGGAGAAAAAGACATCGTAAAAGCTGTTGTGTCTCTACTCAGGCTGGTTCATATCCAAACGTAAGCTAGGAACCCCACTTTGTAATTGATTCAGTGATATTCCCATTATCAACTGGCTTTATTATGGTGGAATTTTCGCACGCAAATATGAAGAATAAGGAATCAAAAGTGTTTTCTAAGTTAAGCAAGGAGGATTCAATTTTTTTCTTTTTTTCTTCTTCACTAGCACCGACATCAGTTTTCTTTAGAACTTTCGAATAAATAATTAACAGTAGATGCTATAAATTAGTCAAGAATTAATCAGAGTAAAAATGATGATTTTCAATTAAATCAAAAGACTCTACCGGAGGCAAAAATTATATCATTTTTGAGATTGAGAACAAGAAAAATCAGTTATATAAAACAGAAACTACCAGAAACTATACTAACTAATATACCAACTAAAAAGGTGTAAGGGAATCTCATTTGATATTGTAGATAAATTATTTGTAAAAACAGGATTGATTTGATTAATACAAAATACAGAAGAAAAAGTAGAATAAATAATAGAAGATAGCTGTTATTGAGGGTAATTGTTATAGCGAAACTATTACTTTTATATGTATTCTATATAGTAAGTATTCTAAACTTGTAATTGCACTGAGACCTTTAAGTTGCTAAAGATATTTAAACAAATTAGTTAAAAGAAGGTAGACAATGATGAATTGGAAGTGTTTGGGTAACTACTAAATTGAAAGACTTATATGTCTTTCTTCTTACAATAGGAAGATTGAACATCATACGCAGGATATGCACGGAGAACTTTGATTAAAATATACTTTGGAGTATGTCCTTCGCTATTTGCAATATGTTTAAATTGCTTGAGTTTGTTGGGAAATCAAACGAAAATTTTGGTAGAGAATATACACAACTTCTTGGACTTACTTTAAATGTTGATGTATCAAGTACCGGTCTATTACTTTCATATGTATTCTATATATTAATTCTCAAGCAACATAATCAATACGTAAATAACTTAGCTGTAAGGTTATTAAACCTAATAAAAAATATTTTTTTAAAAATCGATTATAACACTTAAAAGAATATCATATAAAAAGTTGCTCTCAAATGCTTCAAATGACAACTCAATGAACATCAACAAATATTTTCCAGATTTGGCTGCGCTCTTTGCATGTCAAGTTTAATTGTTTAACCAGACATATATAATTATTTCAAATATCACAAAATATTCATCATATCTGATTCCTCACTATCATCATTGATCTTCTTTATGTGTTTATTTAAATCGAGATCAATTATATGACAAACTCGTGGCTTGGATCACTTAAACTCAATTAAGCACAAAATCTCTTAATTTTGTTCCATTTGAGACTTTGCGACTTAAAGTAATTAATTTTTAAGTATTTTTGTTTCTTAAATTTGTAATAAACAATTAATTGAAAAGTTAAAAATATATATAATATACAATATTTTTTATGTTTTCTAGTATTCCAATCGAAATTATTAAATAAATAATTAAAGAAATACTTTACTATTATTGTTAGACTTTCAGAGTTTCAAATTGAGTATCATTATCATTAGTATTCCAGATAGTGACGGTCCACTTAAGCACTTAAGCAAAAATAATATGCTGTTGTAGCACCACAGGTTTAACCTTTGTTATTGCGACAACTAGAGGTCAGCGTACGAGCAAAACGGAAGGCATGACTCTCCTATTAGGTAAAAATAAATCAACCTGACAATTCTATAAACTTGGCCAAGTTCCTAATTTTGCAGGATAACAGTTCTGTTAGATTGGTAAGAAAGGAGCCACGAAATTCTTAGATCTCCTCTTCTTAAAGATGGTTCCTTACACATGAGGTAGAGCACAGTTTTTTTTTATTCGTAGAGCCACAATCTCGATAGAAGTCATAATAAGGTAGACCCAGTTTAGAGCTTGGGAATGCTCAAGTATTTTTGTTTTTTTACCAGTTTAACAACTGCAAGTGGAACGTCAATTCCTGAGAAGTGAATGTCACGAAGTAGAGTGCCTGTGATATCAATCTTGTCTGCCCTATAGTTAAGATGTACCTGTGTTTAGGAACTATTCCAGGTCATTGATAACTTAAAGAGCTGATTTATCTTTTGTATTAATGAAGATTTAAAGTTGTTGCGAGATTGCTTAAAAATATATTTTACTCATTTCAACTTAATAAGTCTGTATACGAAGGCATTTTCGCTTTGCTTGGAATATGACAACGTTAAGGCATAAATTTCAACTACACATAGGAATCAAGAAATTCTCAACAAAAGATATTCTGATATGCAATCGAAGTGCAGAAATATGATTATAGTGCTCTGCTCCATAGCACACTAAAATCAGCTCCATGATATTTCCATAAGGAGCATTTACTCCTGTAGTAAACGTTTGGTTTGAGCTAATACAGTTTTATAAGGCAACATAATGTGTGAACAACCACCATGAGTCTTTAAGATACCCAGAAAACTTCTTTCGATTTTAAAGATATATAGGAAAAACATTAATATAGAAATATTTTAAAATAATAACTATAATAATATAATAATGATAATAACATTGTTTAATAATCATAAAAACAATATTATTCATTTAAATGACATTTATGTTATTAAGCTTTTAATAATGATAATCATAAATAATAACTACAAAAGGTATAGCCATAACCTTAAAATTAATAATAAATAATATATTTAACCAAAATTTTGTTTTTGGCATCTTAAACATTGTATGAAAACTTTAATATACGAGCACGTATCAAATGGACCTCCAGCGTTTTTATTGAAGTAACTACCTATCAAACTTAATCCAGTAATATTGATATATATATTAAATTACATTTTGAAGTTAATCTTCTCATTGTTATGTCAAACAAAGGAGATATGTATATACATATAATCTACACACCATATAAGTGCTATATGAGTTACACATGGAAGCATAGTTCTAGCACTTTTGTAAAAATTCAAATTTTTTCATTTTTGGTGAGCCAAATATTGCTCATTATATGTGCAGATATTTCCGATAATATCCCCTTTTTTTTTTCTTCTGCTACAATTAATATTTGCTTTATATTCTTAAAGCAATCACAGTAGAGTAACCGCAATACACATATTAGAAGAAATCCTGTGTACCAATCAAGTTATTTATTAGTACCTATTATTTTTGGAACAGCAGGAGAACTCAATGCTCCGCATCCACTTTATTATTATTAGAATCAAATGTGTATCTAGCCTCATAGAAAACGGGAATATAGTACATTGCAGAGATTCTATGCTATTGGAAACTTTAGTCCCTCGCCAAATGGAAGATCACTGGCATACTCCAATTTGCGCCACTGGCTATCTAAACTAAAGAGATATATTATACGCAAGTATTGCTCTTCTACTAGTAAACTAACAATAAAAATCATAGGAAAAATTAGATTGAGTTATACTTGCGATGTAGTGAACTCCATTAAGTAGTAAAGATCACCGCAATCTTCTAGAGAAATTACCTGTTTAAAGGTTGTGTTAACTGTGCCTGTAGATGATATCATGTCTCACTATTGTGATCAATTATTGTGATTTTAATATAATTTACTGCAGTGTATGTGATAATCCATGTTTTCTTTATAAATATATTTATGATTAACACAATAAGACGAGTTAATTTTGCGATATTTGTCTAATTGTATATATGATTATCTGGCTGCGTGGTGGTTTGTCTATTTGTTAATATACAAACTAGACTATTCTCTTGACTATTTTGCTGTACTATATAGTTTTTGAGAGAATAAAGATTTTTAAGTTACCTTTTGAATTCTGGAATATTCGTTGGAAAAATTGATGAAATATGCTGAACATTATAATTGCTTTCTTACGAAATAACTACT